AATCTCGTTTTGAGTTTTTTACTGCAGCCAAGCTGGTTATTGAGTAATTTCCAAAGTTCACGGGGTTTATTTTTGTTTTCCTCAGTTTTGTCATTGATGAAATTCTTTTTGGCAGTTTTGATCATGGAGCTTACGTCACAGCACGGTCACATGACTTCACGTCACCACCGCTAAGCTAAAGGTGGCTAATGTTGGGCTATAAAGGAACTACAGCACGGTCACATGACTTCACGTCACCACCGCTAAGCTAAAGGTGGCTAATGTTGGGCTATAAAGGAACTACAGCACGGTCACATGACTTCACGTCACCACCGCTAAGCTAAAGGAGGCTAATGTTGGGCTATAAAGGAACTACAGCACGGTCACATGACTTCAAGTCACCACCGCTAAGCTAAAGGTGGCTAATGTTGGGCTATAAAGGAACTACAGCACGGTCACATGACTTCACGTCACCACCGCTAAGCTAAAGGTGGCTAATGTTGAGCTATAAAGGAACTACAGCACGGTCACATGACTTCAAGTCACCACCCGCTAAGCTAAAGGTGGCTAATGTTGGGCTATAAAGGAACTACAGCACGGTCACATGACTTCACGTCACCACCGCTAAGCTAAAGGTGGCTAATGTTGGGCTATAAAGGAACTACAGCGCGGTCACATGACTTCACGTCACCACCGCTAAGCTAAAGGTGGCTAATGTTGGGCTATAAAGGAACTACAGCGCGGTCACATGACTTCAGGTCACCACCGCTAAGCTAAAGGAGGCTAATGTTGGGCTACAAAGGAACTACAGCACGGGTCACATGACTTCACATCACCACCGCTAAGCTAAAGGTGGCTAATGTTGAGCTATAAAGGAACTACAGCACGGTCACATGACTTCACGTCACGACGCTAAGCTAAAGGAGGCTAATGTTGGGCTATAAAGGAACTACAGCACGCTCACATGACTTCAAGTCACCACCGCTAAGCTAAATGTGGCTAATGTTGGGCTATAAAGGAACTACAGCACGGTCACATGACTTCACGTCACCACCGCTAAGCTAAAGGTGGCTAATGTTGGGCTATAAAGGAACTACAGCACGGTCACATGACTTCACGTCACCACCGCTAAGCTAAAGGTGGCTAATGTTGGGCTATAAAGGAACTACAGCACGGTCACATGACTTCACGTCACCACCGCTAAGCTAAAGGAGGCTAATGTTGGGCTATAAAGGAACTACAGCACGGTCACATGACTTCACGTCACCACCGCTAAGCTAAAGGAGGCTAATGTTGGGCTATAAAGGAACTACAGCACGGTCACATGACTTCACGTCACCACCGCTAAGCTAAAGGAGGCTAATGTTGGGCTACAAAGGAACTACAGCACGGTCACATGACTTCACGTCACCACCGCTAAGCTAAAGGAGGCTAATGTTGGGCTACAAAGGAACTACAGCACGGTCACATGACTTCACGTCACCACCGCTAAGCTGAAGGTGGCTAATGTTGGGCTATAAAGGAACTACAGCACGGTCACATGACTTCACGTCACCACCGCTAAGCTAAAGGTGGCTAATGTTGGGCTATAAAGGAACTACAGCACGGTCACATGACTTCACGTCACCACCGCTAAGCTAAAGGAGGCTAATGTTGGGCTATAAAGGAACTACAGCACGGTCACATGACTTCAAGTCACCACCGCTAAGCTAAAGGTGGCTAATGTTGGGCTATAAAGGAACTACAGCACGGTCACATGACTTCACGTCACCACCGCTAAGCTAAAGGTGGCTAATGTTGAGCTATAAAGGAACTACAGCACGGTCACATGACTTCAAGTCACCACCGCTAAGCTAAAGGTGGCTAATGTTGGGCTATAAAGGAACTACAGCACGGTCACATGACTTCACGTCACCACGCTAAGCTAAAGGAGGCTAATGTTGGGCTATAAAGGAACTACAGCACGCTCACATGACTTCAAGTCACCACCGCTAAGCTAAATGTGGCTAATGTTGGGCTATAAAGGAACTACAGCACGGTCACATGACTTCACGTCACCACCGCTAAGCTAAAGGTGGCTAATGTTGGGCTATAAAGGAACTACAGCACGGTCACATGACTTCACGTCACCACCGCTAAGCTAAAGGTGGCTAATGTTGGGCTATAAAGGAACTACAGCACGGTCACATGACTTCACGTCACCACCGCTAAGCTAAAGGAGGCTAATGTTGGGCTATAAAGGAACTACAGCACGGTCACATGACTTCACGTCACCACCGCTAAGCTAAAGGAGGCTAATGTTGGGCTATAAAGGAACTACAGCACGGTCACATGACTTCACGTCACCACCGCTAAGCTAAAGGAGGCTAATGTTGGGCTACAAAGGAACTACAGCACGGGTCACATGACTTCACGTCACCACCGCTAAGCTAAAGGAGGCTAATGTTGGGCTACAAAGGAACTACAGCACGGTCACATGACTTCACGTCACCACCGCTAAGCTGAAGGTGGCTAATGTTGGGCTATAAAGGAACTACAGCACGGTCACAGGACTTCGCGTCACCACCGCTAAGCTAAAGGAGGCTAATGTTGGGCTATAAAGGAACTACAGCACGGTCACATGACTTCACGTCACCACCGCTAAGCTGAAGGTGGCTAATGTTGGGCTATAAAGGAACTACAGCACGGTCACATGACTTCACGTCACCACCGCTAAGCTAAAGGAGGCTAATGTTGGGCTATAAAGGAACTACAGCACGGTCACATGACTTCACGTCACCACCGCTAAGCTAAAGGAGGCTAATGTTGGGCTACAAAGGAACTACAGCACGGTCACATGACTTCACGTCACCACCGCTAAGCTAAAGGAGGCTAATGTTGGGCTACAAAGGAACTACAGCACGGTCACATTGACTTCACGTCACCACCGCTAAGCTGAAGGTGGCTAATGTTGGGCTATAAAGGAACTACAGCACGGTCACATGACTTCACGTCACCACCGCTAAGCTAAAGGTGGCTAATGTTGGGCTATAAAGGAACTACAGCACGGTCACATGACTTCACGTCACCACCGCTAAGCTAAAGGAGGCTAATGTTGGGCTATAAAGGAACTACAGCACGGTCACATGACTTCAAGTCACCACCGCTAAGCTAAAGGTGGCTAATGTTGGGCTATAAAGGAACTACAGCACGGTCACATGACTTCACGTCACCACCGCTAAGCTAAAGGTGGCTAATGTTGAGCTATAAAGGAACTACAGCACGGTCACATGACTTCAAGTCACCACCGCTAAGCTAAAGGTGGCTAATGTTGGGCTATAAAGGAACTACAGCACGGTCACATGACTTCACGTCACCACGCTAAGCTAAAGGAGGCTAATGTTGGGCTATAAAGGAACTACAGCACGCTCACATGACTTCAAGTCACCACCGCTAAGCTAAATGTGGCTAATGTTGGGCTATAAAGGAACTACAGCACGGTCACATGACTTCACGTCACCACCGCTAAGCTAAAGGTGGCTAATGTTGGGCTATAAAGGAACTACAGCACGGTCACATGACTTCACGTCACCACCGCTAAGCTAAAGGTGGCTAATGTTGGGCTATAAAGGAACTACAGCACGGTCACATGACTTCACGTCACCACCGCTAAGCTAAAGGAGGCTAATGTTGGGCTATAAAGGAACTACAGCACGGTCACATGACTTCACGTCACCACCGCTAAGCTAAAGGAGGCTAATGTTGGGCTATAAAGGAACTACAGCACGGTCACATGACTTCACGTCACCACCGCTAAGCTAAAGGAGGCTAATGTTGGGCTACAAAGGAACTACAGCACGGTCACATGACTTCACGTCACCACCGCTAAGCTAAAGGAGGCTAATGTTGGGCTACAAAGGAACTACAGCACGGTCACATGACTTCACGTCACCACCGCTAAGCTGAAGGTGGCTAATGTTGGGCTATAAAGGAACTACAGCACGGTCACAGGACTTCGCGTCACCACCGCTAAGCTAAAGGAGGCTAATGTTGGGCTATAAAGGAACTACAGCACGGTCACATGACTTCACGTCACCACCGCTAAGCTGAAGGTGGCTAATGTTGGGCTATAAAGGAACTACAGCACGGTCACAGGACTTTGCGTCACCACCGCTAAGCTAAAGGAGGCTAAGGTTGGGCTATAAAGGAACTACAGCACGGTCACATGACTTCACGTCACCACCGCTAAGCTAAAGGTGGCTAATGTTGGGCTATAAAGGAACTACAGCACGGTCACATGACTTCGCGTCACCACCGCTAAGCTAAAGGAGGCTAATGTTGGGCTATAAAGGAACTACAGCACGGTCACATGACTTCACATCACCACCGCTAAGCTAAAGGAGGCTAATGTTGGGCTATAAAGGAACTACAGCACGGTCACATGACTTCACGTCACCACCGCTAAGCTAAAGGTGGCTAATGTTGGGCTATAAAGGAACTACAGCACGGTCACATGACTTCACGTCACCACCGCTAAGCTAAAGGTGGCTAATGTTGGGCTATAAAGGAACTACAGCACGGTCACATGACTTCACGTCACCACCGCTAAGCTAAAGGTGGCTAATGTTGGGCTATAAAGGAACTACAGCACGGTCACATGACTTCACGTCACCACCGCTAAGCTAAAGGAGGCTAATGTTGGGCTATAAAGGAACTACAGCACGGTCACATGACTTCACATCAAAGTGTAACCTCCTCTCTCTGAGTGTAACCTCCTCTCTCTGAGTGTAACCTCCTCTCTCCGAGTGTAACCTCCTCTCTCTGTGTGTGTGTGTGTGTGTGTGTGTGTGTGTGTGTGTGTGTGTGTGTGTGTGTGTGTGTGTGTGTGTGTGTGTGAGCTCCGTCTCCCTGAGCTATAGTCTGAAGGTTTCTCTCAGTCTTCAGAAGCTGGTGCTGCGACTGGAAGCTGACTCTGGTTCTGTTGTCAGACCTGGTGTTTGTTGGACCTGGTTCTGTTGGTTGGACCTGGTTCTGTTTGTTAGACCTGGTTCTGTTTTTTGGACCTGGTTCTGTTTTTTGGACCTGGTTCTGTTGGTTGGAGCTGGATCTGTTTGTTGGACCTGGTTCTGTTGTTGGACCTGGTTCTGTTGTTGGACCTGGTTCTGTTTGGTTCTACCTCAGCAGAACATGAGCAGAGCAGAGGATCCGGACCCGAGGAGCTGATCAGGTAGGAACACAGACCCTTTCACAATAAAAGCCCACACACTCTGATAAGCACGCACACACACACACACACACACACACACACACACACACACACACACACACACACACACACACAGACCCTTTCACAATAAAAGCCCACACACACAGATAAGCACGCGTGCGCACACACACACACACACACACACACACACACACACACACACACACACACACACACACACACACACACACACACACACAGACCCTTTCACAATAGAGTGGCGAAGTCCCGCCCATCTACTTCCTGTCCATGGGACCTTATTTAGGAAAAATAATGTATTGAAGTCAATGGAGAGAGAAAACGTATCTTTGGATCCCGTTTGAATTGTGCCATGAATTACACATATGATGTTTGTCAATCTTAAAAAATAATTTCCATGTCAAAAAAGTCACAGTTTGTCGTAAAACTGTTGAAATATAAGACTATGAAAAATACGCAACTAGAAAGACTACAAATCCCAGAGTCGCGTAAGTGATGTCACAATTGTTTTCCTCCACCATTCAGATACCTAAGATAATATAGATATAATCTATCTATATGGCGCTGGCTAAGATAAGATAACTTTAACAAGATGCCTGTGTGCTTAGTACCAGGTTGTTATCATACCAGCAATGGGTCTTGCTCGTTCATTCGCTTCCCGTCTGATCAAAGGACCAGGAGTGGCTGGATCAAGTTAGCTACCTAGCTAGTAGCTAGCGCGTTAGTTAGCATTACAGCCTTAGCCTTGTGATTTGTATTAGCCTTAACATGAAGTAACATTAAGTCAGGGTTGCCAACTTTGGGTACCTGGCTGGAGTGAGATTTTGATATCATGGGTTTAATTCGGTTTAATTACACATATGCGCACGAAATGACTGCTATCGTGTCAGCAGCGGGACCTTAGCATATATATAGGATATATATACAATATATACAAATACACAATAATGGACACAGACTATAAAGGGCACACAGTTTCATTCACTAATGAAAGTCAAACATGTTTGTTTCCACTGTTTTATTGTGTGCCTGTCGCGATAAGCAATTAATTGACTTATCGTACGATAAATAAAAATGCACACACACAAACAAATCTACAGACTTACTCCAAACTGCCAAATATATTAATTAACACACTCTCACTCTCATATACTCTTTGACTCTATTTTGGCCTAGTAGAACAATAAGCAGCAGACTTTTACTTTTTTATCATTTCTACTGGATCTTAGATCTGCGCATGCGCAATACGGGTCGGCAGTTGCGGCTCCAGAGTATTTTTGTTGGGTAATCTATGGTAGGGCTAACCCATACAGTGGTGGGGCTCAAGTCAGTATTTGCAATGTAATTACATACACGCTCCCCCGACAGTGAAACGCCACGCGTGAGGTTTAGATTATTTCCCTGTCTCAATCCAAATTGAACTGTATGAAATTATAAAAAGGCACATTTGTCTTGTAGTAAATAAAAAGGGCGACCTGGAGCCAATCCTGCAATTTCCCCACAGGTGAAAGAGTTGACATGCTGAAGACCCAACCCCTGCAGGGGGTCTGGGGGGATTCTCCCCCAGGAGATTTTTTGAAATACTAACATAAAATACACATTCTGGTACTCTCTTGAGAAGAAAAATAAATAAATCTATTACTACACGACATATTTAAACAAATTAATTAATTTTAGTTTTGTGTGACTTTGTTCTGAAAGCTGAACCTGCTGCTCCTCACAGAGAGAAGAGGGAAGAGGCTGTGTGAATTACTTTACATTGTGGATAAGGGTGGATAGCCCCCATTGTTCTGTGTGTCAAAATGAAAGACAGCCCACACACCTATCAATCATCAAACCGTGGGGTCTTATTTCATTACGTGTTGATTTCTATCAACACGTAATGTTGTATCGATGTATAGAGATGTACTACCGCAAAAGTATTCTCCGTCGGGACTTCCTGCAACAACACCACGCCGTTATCGTGATTCTGATTGGCCAGAAGACATTATCAAAGATGTTTTATTGAGAAGATGATCACTACCTGACAAAAGTTTTCAAAACCGTTTCTAGTCTTCGGTATTCTTGTTTTTGGCGTGAGAATAGTTTGGGCAGCGTGAGAGCGTGAGATTGAGAGTGAAAGCGTGTGTCACACGCCAGATGCGTGAGAGTTGGCAACCCTGCATTAAGTAACCCAAAATGTTAAACAGTAAGAGTAGTAGTCATATGTCGTGAACCCTTTGAAGAGTACTGTCACACCGGTGTGATCATTCTATAATACACCATTTAAGCCCGGATGCCCCCAGGGGAGACATGCTAACGCTAACGCTACATTAGCATCGGCGATCTTCTCTACTTCATGCTATCTGCACAAATGGTTAACATTAAACATTAAAAAGATCAGGCAGTTCAGAGAGAATCAAAGGAAGGCAGGCAGCTTTGCATGACTTTCTTCTGCACGTGTTTCATTGGTGATAGTGAGGGTCAGGGTGAGAGGGTGATAGTGAGGGTCAGGGTGAGAGGGTGATAGTGAGGGTCAGGGTGAGAGGGTGATAGTGAGGGTCAGGGTGAGAGGGTGATAGTGAGGGTCAGGGTGAGAGGGTGATAGTGAGGGTCAGGGTGAGAGGGTGATAGTGAGGGTCAGGGTGAGAGGGTGATAGTGAGGGTCAGGGTGAGAGGGTGATAGTGAGGGTCAGGGTGAGAGGGTGATAGTGAGGGTCAGGGTGAGAGGGTGATAGTGAGGGTCAGGGTGAGAGGGTGATAGTGAGGGTCAGGGTGAGAGGGTGATAGTGAGGGTCAGGGTGAGAGGGTGATAGTGAGGGTGAGGGTAGTCAATCCCTTGTTTGGCAAGACAGTTAGTGACGGCCATCTTGGTGACGTGTGTTGTTGTGCGAAACCAGAGATGTAGTTCATTGAGCGTTTCACACAAAAAAATGACTTTGCCACTCTATAAGAGCCTCTCTGGGTTCAGCTGGTACTGGTCCTGGTCTCTCCTGGTCTCACAGACCACCTGAGAACAGGTGAGGTCCCTGACCCGTCTGGAGTCACATCACAGAACTCTGAGTCATCTTCCAGCGTTAGGAGGGTCGTATCAGAACCTGATCCAGACCGTCTGATCCAGACCGTCTGGTCCAGACCGGGTTCTGATCCAGACCGGGTTCTGATCCAGACCGGGTTCTGATCCAGACCAGGTTCTGATCAGGTGAGTGTGTGTGTGTGTGTGTGTGTGTGTGTGTGTAAAGAATGTCAACTTTGTTAGAGAGCTGACTCCCCATTGGTCGGTGTGAATCAGTTCCCATGGTAACGCCCAGGTTACGATACGATACGATATACTTTATTGTCCCCGTAAGGACATTTGTTCTGGACTTCGTCCTGCAGTGCATCCATGTACATATACAAACATAGTGGACATTAAGAGACATACACATATCATCAGTCATACACCGTTTGAACAAACACAATACACACACGTACATACTGACAATGGCGACCTATTGCACAACCCTCATGGCCAACATTAAAAAAAGTACATCTCATTACATTTGACTACATATCATTTCATTCCGGGCGCTGTACAATAGCTGCCCACTGCTCCTAGTATAGACTCCCGGTACTAGGATGGGTTAAAAGCAGAGAACAAATTTCACTGTGTGCTGTGTGCTCTGCATGTGTGACCATTACAGAGGGTTTCATCCCTCCCAATTCTATTCTAATTCTATTCTATGTGAATGTTAAGAAGCTTAATCGACATAGGTAGGAATGAGTGCTTATAGCGGTTCAGCCTGCTCCTGGGAACCCTGAATCTTCTACCAGAAGGTAGGAGCTGGAATTCTGGGTGGAGTATGTGGGTGGGATCAGACACCATTTTTTTTGCCTGTCTGATAATCGACTGCTCGTTTATGTTTTGGAGAGATGGGTGTTTTTTAACCCCCATAATCTTCATAGCAGTCTGTACCAGGCGAGCGATCTGTGACTTTGACTGCACTGTCAAGTTACCGTACCAGGCAGTGATACCATACCTCATGATGCTCTCCAACACTGCATGATAGAACAGTAACATGAACTTCTGGTCGACTCCGAAAGCCCGGAGTCGACGCAGAAAGTACAACCGTTGCTGAAGTCTAGAGCACAGACCTTGAACATGCGCCTTCCAGCTGAGTGTATTATCTAGATGGACACCAAGGTTCTCTTAACGAGCCTTTAGATCTCCAGACAGCAAGTCTCTTTCACTATAAGAGCTGATGGTCAGTTTGAGTCCTGAATGCAGCTGTGATCACTTCCTGTCCCTCTTCTTCTGTCAGCAGGATGTCAGGTAACTGGTCGTCCCTGACCCCGCCCCCCGGTTCTGAGGTCCCGCTACCCGGCCCTGAGGCCCCGCCCCTTGCCTCTGAGGCCCCGCCCCCTCTGTTCCCCAGCTTCACGCTGGCGGCTCAGCTTCGAGTCATTGCCACCGCGCTGCTGTTCCTGTTTGCGGCGGTGAGTAACGTGGCTCTGCTGCTGAGCGTGTGGAGGGGGGGGCGGGGCTTCATAGGCAGGGGGCGTGGTCTCATGGCCGGGGGGCGGGGCCAGGGACGCCTCGCCTCTCACCTGCGCCCTCTGATGCTCAGCCTGGCGGGCGCTGACCTCATGATGACCTTCGTGGTGATGCCTCTGGACGCCGTGTGGAACGTGACGGTGCAGTGGTACGGCGGCGAGGCGCTCTGCAAGACGCTCTCCTTCCTGAAGCTGTTCGCCATGCACGCCTCCGCCTTCGTGCTGGTGGCCATCAGCCTGGACCGGCAGCACGCCATCCTGCAGCCGCTGGACCTCAGCGCGCACCGGAGGAACCGCCGCATGCTGCTGCTGGCCTGGAGCCTCAGCCTGCTGCTGGCCGCGCCGCAGGTACGCTGAAACGTTGCTGTCAGAAACAATGAGACGTGTTCTGGAAGTAATATGGTCTGTGTTTACATTAGCATGCTAACACTCAGAGCTAACCTGTACTGGAGAGAGCATGTGTGAAGAAGCAGGAAATGAAAAGGAAGTCACCTTGTGGTAAACCTGAGAGAGAGAAAGAGTTTGAGCTCCATACTGTTTCAGAGAGAATCCTTCATGTGGTTTGGAACATGATATGGAGTTTCATCACGGCAGCATTTAGCTGAGTTTCTGCTGGGAGAGTTCTCCTGATGAGATCTACTCTCTCTCTGAAGCTACTGACCCAGAGTCAGCTCTTTAGTAACAGCTGGGAGAGAGGGGGGGGGGCTACAAGGATCTGTTTGGGGTTTGGAGCAGGACACTTCAGAGACATGTCCTTAGTAACAGCTGGAAGAGAGGGGGGGGGGGGGGCTACAAGGATCTGTTTGGGGTTTGGAGCAGGACACTTCAGAGACATGTCCTTAGTAACAGCTGGAAGAGAGGGGGGGGGGGGCTACAAGGATCTGTTTGGGGTTTGGAGCAGGACACTTCAGAGACATGTCCTTAGTAACAGCTGGAAGAGAGGGGGGGGGGGCTACAAGGATCTGTTTGGGGTTAGGAGCAGGACACTTCAGAGACATGTCCTTAGTAACAGCTGGAAGAGAGGGGGGGGGGCTACAAGGATCTGTTTGGGGTTTGGAGCAGGACACTTCAGAGACATGTCCTTAGTAACAGCTGGAAGAGGGGGGGGGGGGGGCTACAAGGATCTGTTTGGGGTTTGGAGCAGGACACTTCAGAGACATGTCCTTAGTAACAGCTGGAAGAGGGGGGGGGGGGGGGGGGGGGGGGGGGGGGGGGTGGGGGGGGGGGGCTGCTACAAGGATCTGTTTGGGGTTTGGAGCAGGACACTTCAGAGACATGTCCTTAGTAACAGCTGGAAGAGAGGGGGGGGGGGCTACAAGGATCTGTTTGGGGTTTGGAGCAGGACACTTCAGAGACATGTCCTTAGTAACAGCTGGAAGAGAGGGGGGGGGGGCTACAAGGATCTGTTTGGGGTTTGGAGCAGGACACTTCAGAGACATGTCCTTAGTAACAGCTGGAAGAGAGGGGGGGGGGCTACAATAGGCGCGTTCACACCAAGTACTTTGCCGTACTCAGTGCCGGCACTTATGACCCCAGGGCACGTACAGATCGCGTTCACACCAGAGTACTTTTCCCTGAGGGAAGATTACGCAAATGAGCTGCTGACGTCACTTCTTCTTCTTCTGCTTTGGGTTTACTGGCAGGCAGCAAACCACTTCACGGCGTATACTGCCACCCGGAGTCCCCGGCCGGAAGTCCCCGGAGTTGGGGAAGGCTTCAGTCGAAGCTGCTGGGACTCCCAGCAGCTTCTACTGAAGCCTTCAGAGGAAATCGCCAGAACGCCGACACCTCCTCATCTGCACCGCTCCCATGTTTTATTTTGTGTTGCCATAAGTTAGTCTCTCTGCGTTTGTGCGCTGGGCTAATGCTAATGCTAATAATGCTAATGCGAGGATAATAAAATGGCGGCTCTACAAAACATTTCAGAGTTGTACGGGGCGTGGTTTGCAATTGGCCCAGCCGATCAGAACTGGGGCACTTTTTTCCCCCAGGAGAGTACCATCTCTCAGCAGGCACTAAACATGGGGGTAAAAGTTCCAGAGATGAAGTGCTCTTTTTGGTGTGAACGCGACATAAGGGGTACTAACGCAACTAAACGTGAAAAGTACGGTGAAAAGTACTCCGGTGTGAACGCGGCTATTGATCTGTTTGGGGTTTGGAGCAGGACACTTCAGAGACATGTCTTTATATCTGAGACCTGTGATATCTGCCGAAAGACAGCATGATAGGAGACCTTTAATGTCATATACACAGACACAGTGTAGTTGTATAAATGACAAACCTAATATATACAACACATAACACTTTAGAAACATCAGGTCGTCCAGCAGTTTGTCTGATGGCTGTAGGATCAGAGCGAGGGCTAGCAGCTACGCTAACACAGCTCAGAGACGGAGCTTAAACCCAGCAGGAATGTCTCAGGATTAGACCTCCTGCTGTTAGCTCGGGCTAACGGCTCCCCTTGGTTTCTATAAGGAATGCTAACAATGCTAATCCGGGAACAGGCTGTGTGTAGCAGCAGAGACACACTGCAGGTTACACAATAATACATATACACCTGTCCTCCTGTAACACCTGTCCTCCTGTAACACCTGTCCTCCTGTAACACCTGTCCTCCTGTAACACCTGTCCTCCTGTCACACCTGTCCACCTGTATCACCTGTCCTCCTGTAACACCTGTCCTCCTGTAACACCTGTCCTCCTGTAACACCTGTCCTCCTGTCACACCTGTCCACCTGTATCACCTGTCCTCCTGTAACACCTGTCCTCCTGTCACACCTGTCCACCTGTAACACCTGTCCTCCTGTAACACCTGTCCTCCTGTAACACCTGTCCTCCTGTCACACCTGTCCACCTGTATCACCTGTCCTCCTGTAACACCTGTCCTCCTGTAACACCTGTCCTCCTGTAACACCTGTCCTCCTGTAACACCTGTCCTCCTGTAACACCTGTCCTCCTGTCACACCTGTCCACCTGTATCACCTGTCCTCCTGTAACACCTGTCCCTCCTGTAACACCTGTCCTCCTGTAACACCTGTCCTCCTGTAACACCTGTCCACCTGTAACACCTGTCCACCTGTAACACCTGTCCTCCTGTAACACCTGTCCTCCTGTCACACCTGTCCTCCTGTAATGCCTGTCCTCCTGTAACACCTGTCCTCCTGTAACACCTGTCCTCCTGTCACACCTGTCCTCCTGTAACACCCTGTCCTCCTGTCATACCTGTCCTCCTGTAACACCTGTCCTCCTGTAACACCTGTCCTCCTGTCATACCTGTCCTCCTGTTCTCCTGTCCTCCTGTCATACCTGTCCTCCTGTAACACCTGTCCTCCTGTCATACCTGTCCTCCTGTAACACCTGTCCTCCTGTCATACCTGTCCTCCTGTAACACCTGTCCTCCTGTAACACCTGTCCTCCTGTCATACCTGTCCTCCTGTAACACCTGTCCTCCTGTCATACCTGTCCTCCTGTAACACCTGTCCTCCTGTAACACCTGTCCTCCTGTCACACCTGTCCTCCTGTAACACCTGTAACACCTGTCCACCTGTATCACCTGTCCTCCTGTCACACCTGTCCACCTGTCCTCCTGTCCCCCCCAGCTGTTCCTGTTCCGGGTGGTGCGGGTGCAGACAGGTGAGACGCAGGGCTTCTCTCAGTGCGCGTCTCACGGCAGCTTCCTGCACCGCTGGCAGGAGACCCTGTACAACATGCTGCACTTCATCTCTCTGTACCTGGTCCCCCTGCTGGTGATGAGCTGCTGCTACAGCCGCATCCTGCTGCACATCCACCACACACACCTGAGGAACGCAGGTACACACACACACACACACACAGACCTGAGGAACGCAGGTACACACACATCCACCACACACACCTGAGGAACGCAGGTACACACACATCCACCACACACACCTGAGGAACGCAGGTACACACACACACACACACACACACACACTCACACACACACACACACACACACACACACATCCACCACACACACCTGAGGAACGCAGGTACACACACACACACCACACACCTGAGGAATGCAGGTACACACACACACACACATCCACCACACACACCTGAGGAACGCAGGTACACACACACACACACACATCCACCACACACACCTGAGGAACGCAGGTACACACACACACACACACACACCTGAGGAACGCAGGTACACACACACACCTGAGGAACGCAGGTACACACACATCCACCACACACACCTGAGGAACGCAGGTACACACACACACACACACCACACACCTGAGGAACACAGGTACACACACACACACACCTGAGGAACGCAGGTACACACACACACCTGAGGAACGCAGGTACACACACATCCACCACACACACCTGAGGAACACAGGTACACACACACACACACACACACACCTGAGGAACGCAGGTACACACACACACCTGAGGAACGCAGGTACACACACACACACACACACTCACACACACACACACATCCACCACACACACCTGAGGAATGCAGGTACACACACACACACACACACTCACACACACACACACATCCACCACACACACCTGAGGAATGCAGGTACACACACACACACACACACACACACACACACTCACACACACACACACACATCCACCACACACACCTGAGGAACGCAGGTACACACACACACACACATCCACCACAGACACCTGAGGAACGCAGGTACACACACACACACACACACACACTCACACACACACACACATCCACCACACACACCTGAGGAACGCAGGTACACACACACACACACACCACACACCTGAGGAACACAGGTACACACACACACACATCCACCACACACACCTGAGGAACGCAGGTACACACACACACACACACACACACACTCACACACACACACACATCCACCACACACACCTGAGGAACGCAGGTACACACACACACACACACACCACACACACCTGAGGAACACAGGTACACACACACACACATCCACCACACACACCTGAGGAACGCAGGTACACACACACACACACACACCTGAGGAACGCAGGTACACACACACACCTGAGGAACGCAGGTACACACACATCCACCACACACACCTGAGGAACGCAGGTACACACACACACACACACACACACACACCACACACCTGAGGAACGCAGGTACACACACACACACACACACACACACACTCACACACACACACACACATCCACCACACACACCTGAGGAACGCAGGTACACACACACACATCCACCACACACACCTGAGGAAACGCAGGTACACACACACACACACACACACACACACACACATCCACCACACACACACTGAGGAACGCAGGTACACACACACACACATCCACCACACACCTGAGGAACGCAGGTACACACACACACACACACACATCCACCACACACACCTGAAGAACGCAGGTACACACACACACACCACACACACACACACACACACACACACACACACACACACACACACATCCACCACACACACCTGAAGAACGCATGTACACACACACACACACACACATTCACCACACATACCTGAGGAACGCAGGTACACACACACACACACACACATCCACCACACACACCTGAAGAACGCAGGTACACACACACACACACACACACACACACACACACACACACACACACACACATCCACCACACACACCTGAAGAACGCATGTACACACACACACACACACACACATCCACCACACACACCTGAGGAACGCAGGTACACACACACACACACACACACACACACACACACACACACACACACACACACACACACACACACATCCACCACACACACCTGAGGAACGCAGGTACACACACACACACACATCCACCACACACACCTGAGGAACGCAGGTACACACACACACACACACACACACACACACACACATCCACCACACACCTGAGGAATGCAGGTACACACACACACACACACATCCACCACACACACCTGAAGAACGCAGGTACACACACACACACACACACATCCACCACACACACCTGAGGAACGCAGGTACACACACACACACACACACACACACACACACACACACACACATACATCCACCACACACACCTGAAGAACGCAGGTACACACACACACACACACACACACATGCACCACACACACCTGAGGAATGCTGATACACACACATGCACACACATCCACTACACACCTGAAGAACGCAGGTACACACTCACACACACACACACTCACACACACCTGAGGACGCTGGTCATGTGACACAGCTTCAGTTTCTCCCCCTTGTTTCTCCCCTCGCAGCGGGGGAGTCGTACCTGCGGCGCAGCGGCACCGATCTGATCCCGAAGGCGCGGATGAAGACTCTGAAGATGACGGTGGTGATCGTGCTGTCCTTCGTAGTGTGCTGGACGCCTTACTACCTGCTGGGGCTCTGGTACTGGTTCCAGCCCGCGATGCTGGGCCTGCTGCCTGACTACCTGCACCACTTTCTGTTCCTGTTCGGACACCTGAACACCTGCTGCGACCCGGTGATCTACGGCTTCTTCACGCCCTCATTCAGGGCCGACCTCCATGCCTGCTGCCGCCGCCTGACAGCCAATCAGAGCACAGGAGATAACCAGCCCGCAGACTCTCAGCCAATCAGAGCACAGGATATAACCAGCCCGCAGACTCTCAGCCAATCAGAGCACAGGATATAACCAGCCCGCAGACTCTCAGCCAATCAGAGCACAGGATATAACCAGCCCGCCGCCTGACAGCCAATCAGAGCACAGGAGATAACCAGCCCGCAGACTCTCAGCCAATCAGAGCACAGGATATAACCAGCCCGCAGACTCTCAGCCAATCAGAGCACAGGATATAACCAGCCCGCAGACTCACAGCCAATCAGAGCACAGGAGATAACCAGCCCGCACTGACAGCCAATCAGAGCCCAGGAGATAACCAGCCCGCACTCACAGCCAATCAGAGCACAGGAGGTGATGACGTCACAGACAGTCCCGTTATGATCCAGTTTTTATTCATATTTTTTTCATGTCCTCTGATCAATTTAGGAACCTGAGAGATACATTCCTTTAGGAACCTGAGAGATACATTCCTTTAGGAACCTGACAGATACATTCCTTTAGGAACCTGAGAGATACATTCCTTTAGGAACCTGAGAGATACATTCCTTTAGGAACCTGACATATACATTCCTTTAGGAACCTGACAGATACATTCCTTTAGGAACCTGACAGATACATTCCTTTAGGAACCTGAGAGATACATTCCTTTAGGAACCTGAGAGATACATTCCTTTAGGAAACCTGAGAGATACATTCCTTTAGGAACCTGACAGATACATTCCTTTAGGAACCTGAGAGATACATTCCTTTAGGAACCTGAGAGATACATTCCTTTAGGAACCTGACAGATACATTCCTTTAGGAACCTGAGAGATACATTCCTTTAGGAACCTGAGAGATACATTCCTTTAGGAACCTGACAGATACATTCCTTTAGGAACCTGACAGATACATTCCTTTAGGAACCTGAGAGATACATTCCTTTAGGAACCTGAGAGATACATTCCTTTAGGAACCTGAGAGATACATTCCTTTAGGAACCTGAGAGATACATTCCTTTAGGAACCTGACAGATACATTCCTTTAGGAACCTGAGAGATACATTCCTTTAGGAACCTGAGAGATACATTCCTTTAGGAACCTGAGAGATACATTCCTTTAGGAACCTGAGAGATACATTCCTTTAGGAACCTGACAGATACATTCCTTTAGGAACCTGAGCAGATACATTCCTTTAGGAACCTGAGAGATACATTCCTTTAGGAACCTGAGAGATACATTCCTTTAGGAACCTGAGAGATACATTCCTTTAGGAACCTGACAGATACATTCCTTTAGGAACCTGACAGATACATTCCTTTAGGAACCTGAGAGATACATTCCTTTAGGAACCTGACAGATACATTCCTTTAGGAACCTGACAGAACTGAAATCAACATTTCTCAACAAACCAGTTTTCTGTAACCAACCCTAAATATAAGTTCCTTATTTGTCATTGCACCATCTCAAAGGGAATCTGTGAGACCCCCCCAAAGAGGATCACTTCCTGTTTACTAACCTCTAACCCCTCACCTGGGGGCCACAGGTGGTCAGCCAATGGGAAGCTTCAGTGTTCAGTCAGCACCTGAAATACCCTTTATTGTTATTCTATTCATCTGTTAATGTATGAAATAAGACGTCTTCTGTCAACATAGAAATGTTCTCTACATTACTTTTGATTTAAATCATGAAGAAATAAGTTTATTTGAACACTTAATATGTCTTTATGTTTTATTGGGTGGAAGAACAAAATGGTTTGTATAAACAGTCAAATACAGTCTTAGAACAAATGGAAACAAACAAACTGAAATGAATGAAAGAATAAACGTGTGAAAAACTATTCAAATTCAGTTTTATTTGGTTTCATTTCAAACATCAGACAGACGGTGAAACATTCAACACCACAGAAGAAGAACTCGTCGAAGCGTCTAATCTTCTTCAGGTCTGTTCTCTAAAGCAGTGTAAAGCTTGGGGATGCTTTTATTTTGAAAGGACACATTAATGAATTAAAGGTTTTAAAGAAACATCATAAAAATGTTAAAGCTCTTCTCATTGGTGCTAGCCTTCGTCTACTTCTCTACGTCTACAGCGCCGACAGGAAGTCTCCATTTATACTAAAAATACTTTTATCTGTGGAGGACATGGCTTTATTAAACTCAGCTTATTATTAAATATGGCTTATTCAGGGACTCCGACATATTCATACTACACACATTATACATCATTCAAACTAACGAAGAATCAGAAACAAGAAAAACAAAGTTCATAATCAAAACATTATAGGAATTACATTTAAATCTCTTCTTCACTGGCTTTTATTTTGGCAGATTCCTCTTAAAATAAGAATGAAACCAAAGAAGAAAGTTCTAGAAAAAGAACAGCCGACATTTTTCATTTCAGAAACACCCCGACCCCACAGCGACCTGAGACCCCGGACTGCATGAGACCGGACAGGACTCAACGATATCAACGAGACTCAGCGAGACTCAACGAGACTCAACGAGACTCTATTTAACCCGACAGGACTCAACAAGACTCTATTTAACCCGACAGGACTCAACGGTACTCAACGAGACTCAACGAGACTCCGCGAAACTCAACGAGACTCAAGAAGACTCTATTTAACCCGACAGGACTCAACGAGACTCAACGAGACTCCGCGAAACTCAACGAGACTCAAGAAGACTCTATTTAACCCGACAGGACTCAACGAGACTCAACGGGACTCAACGAGACTCAGCGAGACTCAAAAAGACTCTATTTAACCCGACAGGACTCAACAAGACTCAACGAGACTCAACGAGACTCAACGAGACTCCGCGAAACTCACCGAGACTCAAGAAGACTCTATTTAACCCGACAGGACTCAACGAGACTCAACGGGACTCAACAAGACTCTATTTAACCCGACAGGACTCAACAAGACTCGATTTAACCCGACAGGACTCAACAAGACTCGATTTAACCCGACAGGACTCAACGAGACTCAACGGGACTCAACAAGACTCTATTTAACCCGACAGGACTCAACAAGACTCGATTTAACCCGACAGGACTCAACAAGACTCTATTTAACCCGACAGGACTCAACGAGACTCAACGGGACTCAACGAGACTCGATTTAACCCGACAGGACTCAACAAGACTCAACGAGACTCTATTTAACCCGACAGGACTCAACGAGACTCAACGGGACTCGATTTAACCCGACAGGACTCAACAAGACTCAACGAGACTCAGCGAGACTCAACAAGACTCTATTTAACCCGACAGGACTCAACGAGACTCAACGGGACTCAACAAGACTCTATTTAACCCGACAGGACTCAACAAGACTCGATTTAACCCGACAGGACTCAACGAGACTCAACAGGACTCGATTTAACCCGACAGGACTCAACGAGACTCAACGGGACTCAACAAGACTCGATTTAACCCGACAGGACTCAACAAGACTCGATTTAACCCGACAGGACTCAACGAGACTCAACGGGACTCAACGAGACTCGATTTAACCCGACAGGACTCAGCGAGACTCAGCGAGACTCAACGAGACTCAGCGAGACTCAACGAGACTCAACGAGACTCAGCGAGACTCAACAAGACTCGATTTTACCCGACAGGACTCAGCGAGACTCAACAAGACTCAACGAGACTCAGCGAGACTCAACGAGACTCAACGAGACTCAGCGAGACTCAGCGAGACTCAACGAGACTCAGCGAGACTCAACAAGACTCGATTTTACCCGACAGGACTCAGCGAGACTCAACAAGACTCGACTTAACCCGATGGTACAAACGTGATCATTAAAGTCAGACTCAATTCTGTTCAACAAACGGACTGAACCGTTCGAGTCAGAGTGTTTAGTGTCCAGTCGTCGGCAGGACAGATCAGGTCTACAGGACTGTGGGGTCTGGGGTCTCTGTCAAGACATTAAACCACAAACTGAAAAGGAACTGAGGGAACATTGAAACAGTATTTTGGTCAAAGAGTTTCTTTAGTTATTTGGCTGTTTTAAACTCTTCATGTTACAACATATAAAAATATATCCTCCAAATGTGAGAATCTATTTTGGTTTGTTCGTTCTTCGACTCTGGAACAAGCAGTTTGAACAGGAAACGTTTTTATCTTTGGACGCCCTTCAGCTGGTTTTGAAAGAATATTTGGACGTTTTGGCTGAAACTACAGGAAGCTGCTGTTCATGTACAGGAAGCTGCTGTTCATGTACAGGAAGTGACAGACAGGAAGTAGGAAGTAGAGTATCTTCCCTCTCAGGACGGAGGGATCCATCGCTGATCAACATTATGGGTTACAGCACATTGGCATTGGCACAACAAGAAAATGGCAAAGCTGCCCCCGGAGGAGGCTTTTGGTTCTGAGGTAGGTTAGCGTTAGCAGTGGGAGGCTAACGGTTTTAGACGTTAGCTCTCTTTGGATCGGGGGGGGGGGGGGGTTTCCTCCTGACCTGAGGCGAACTCGTGAGACAGACGAACACTAAACAAACACTGAAAGGTTAAAGCAGCGCAGAGGAAGTCCTCCGCATCACCGGCTGACGGGAGACTTGAATCCCCCTCGGAGGACGGGGTCTCCGTCAGACCGGAGGAAGGCCTCGTCCAATCGGTGGGGAGATCAAACTAAAGACAAATGTTTTGGTTTCAACAGGAAGCATCCGGCCTCTGATACCAGAGGGCAGGCTCCAACCCAGAGACTGGACCTGGAACAGAACCAGGTCTAAATGAACCGCCCCTCAAGGACCCAGAACAGAACCAGGTCTAAATGAACCGCACCTCAAGGACCCAGAACAGAACCAGGTCTAAATGAACCGCCCCTCAAGAAACCCAGAACAGAACCAGGTCTAAATTAACCGCACCTCAAGAAACCCAGAACAGAACCAGGTCTAAATGAACCGCACCTCAAGGACCCAGAACAGAACCAGGTCTAAATGAACCGCACCTCAAGGACCCAGAACAGAACCAGGTCTAAATGAACCGCACCTCAAGGACCCCGAACAGAACCAGGTCTAAATGAACCGCCCCTCAAGAAACCCAGAACAGAACCAGGTGGGAATGAATTGCATCAAAGCTCAAGGACATCTGAGGGGTCTGGGTAGGGTCTGGTTGTGGGTAGGGTCTGGTTGTGGGTAGGGGTCTGGTTCTAGGTATGGTTTGGTTCTGGGTAGGGTCTGGTTCTGGGTCTGGTTCTGGTATCAGATGCTCTCCGGATGTCCTCATAAAGGCTGAAGTGGCAGTAAGGCTGTCAGGAGGAGGGGGGGGGGGGGTTATCCGGTGCTGGTGCCGGGCTGATCCGGTTCAACGGTTTCCACCATGAGCGTCACTGGGGGGGCGGAGTCAGGTCTCTGTGGGCGGAGCAGACAGGAAGTTAGTGTGTGTGTGTGTGTGTGTGTGTGTGTGTGTGTGTGTGTGTGTGTGTGTGTGTGTGTGTGTGTGTGTGTGTGTGTGTGTGTGTGTGTGTGTGTGTGTGTGTGTTACCTGGCTCAGCTCCATGCTCTCAGGTGTGTATCCTTTAGTTGCTTTGACATCACTCAGAGTTGGCGGAGCCTCCCAGCCCGCTGACTTCCTGCAGAGGAAACTGAGGAAGAAGAGGAGAAAGAGGAAGAAGAGGAAGAGGAGGAAGAGGAGGAAGAGGAAGAAGAGGAGGAAGGTGAGATCTGTGTGTTTTGTCTCACAATCATTTCTAACTTTTTTTTAAGCACATTCTTTGTTGGAAGCCACAGAAACGGTGTGTGTGTGTGTGTGCGTGTGTGTGTGCGTGTGTGTGTGTGCGTGTGCGTGTGTGCGTGCGTGTGTGCGTGTGCGTGTGTGTGTGCGTGCGTGCGTGTGCGTGTGCGTGTGTGTGTGTGTGTGTGTGCGTGTGTGCTGTGTGTGCGTGTGTGTGTGTGTGTGTGTGTGTGTGCGTGTGTGTGTGTGTGTGTGCGTGTGTGTGTGTGCGTGTGTGTGTGTGTGCGTGTGTGTGAGCGTGTTACCTGCGTCTGTATCCCAGCAGCAGCAGGCAGCAGAGCACGCAGGCGAGCGCACTGTGAACCCCCACCAGCAGGGCGGAGCCAGAGGAGCACTCACAGCCCGCTGCAGAGTACACACAGTACACAGCTTAGTACACACAGTACACAGAGTACACACAGTACACAGTTCAGTACACAGAGTACACACAGTACACACAGTACACAGCTTAGTACACACAGTACACAGAGTACACACAGTACACAGTTCAGTACACAGTTCAGTACACAGAGTACACACAGTACACAGCTCAGTACACACAGTACACACAGTACACAGAGTACACACAGTACACAGTTCAGTACACAGTTCAGTACACAGAGTACACACATTACACAAAGTACAAACATTACACATTATAAACCACATTACACACAGAGGTCAGAGGTCAGAGGTCAGCCTACCTGCTGCAGCGTTGCCCTCGCTCAGAGACACCAGGCGCCGGTTGGACGCTCCGTCTCCGTTCCCGTTGAAGGCGAGCAGCCGAATCTCATACACCGCTAACCGCTCTGCAGGGAGAACACAGGTTAGCTTAGCATCAACTGCTAGCATACTGCAGGTGAGATCAGTTAGCTTAGCATCAACTGCTAGCAGCGACGTGCAGTCAGGGGAGGCAGAGCCTCACCTCTCATACTCCAATGTAACGGAAAAACAACTAAAGAAAAACTAAATAATAATAATAATAAAATGTCTCCACTGATCTGTGTTGTAAGTGTGATTTCTGTTTGATTCTAATCGCTTTTTATAGTCAAAATCAGCAAATTTGCCGAGCTCTGCTACGGGAGCGATGAGAAGTGAGGCAGGGACGAGCTCTGCCTCACGTAAGCCCACAGTAACTTGCTGGAGCACGGGCACTAATTTAGCGCGGGCACTTATTTAGTGAGCGCGCTCCAGCCAGTTACTGTGGGGTGAGGTGAGGCACAGATGAGCTCTGCCTCACCTCAGAATGCGTCACCCCACAGAAACTGTCTGGAAAGCAGGCCCTAAGCGCATGCCTGTTCCCATCTCACTGTAGGTCACCAATGTAATGTTTGTAGATCCCTTTATTATATTTATCCTCGCCATCCATAGTCTCTAAATAACTTATTTCACGTATATATGATATTTAGGCTCGCTGGTCTCATCGTACAACGGCAATGAAAAAAGCACCAGGAGAGGCAGCCATAACCTCTGCCGCACTGAAGGGGGCGCACGTGAGCCCACAGGTTCTTGTTGCTACTGTTATTCTACGCAAACAACAAACTAGACTTTTGAAACTACAGGAAGATAAGGAGGACTTTTACAAAGTAATAGAGATTGTTGTCCAGAAGGATAGCATGGACTTCATCTTCAAGTCAAGGTAAGACCACAACTGTAATGAAAATGGGATCTTACTAAGAAAGAACAATCCAATATTTATCCTTTTGTTGATCGGTCTGTTTTAAATGAATCATAGCATCAGACTAAAAAAGCTTTTGAAAATAACAGAATATTTCGATTAAGGTCAAAATATAATATTTGTAAATCTGACTCTGAAAGAGTCAGTGCCTCACCAGCCATGAACCTCACCGCACGTCACTGACTGCTAGCATACTGCAGGTGAGATCAGTTAGCTTAGCATCAACTGCTAGCATACTGCAGGTGAGATCAGTTAGCTTAGCATCAACTGCTCGCATACTGCAGGTGAGATAAGGTGTACTGACCCAGGTGAGATAAGGTGTGTGTGTTGATGTGGGCTGGGAAGGTCTCCTGCCCCTGCACTTCTGGGTTGGATACCCCACGGTACTCCAGTCTGAAGCCTTCCAGCATACCTGGCTCACCTGGCAGCTCCCAGAACACCTGAATGGCTGTCTGGTTCAGAACCTTTGAGTAGAAACTGGGAGGACTGGGAACTGTGGAAGAGAGGGGGGGTTAGGGTGGGCTGTAGTTAGGGTGGGCTGTATTTAGGGTGGGCTGTAGAGTGGACTGTATTTAGTGTGTACTGTATTTAGGGTGTGCTATATTTAGGGTGGGCTGTAGTTAGGTTGGGCTGTAGTTAGGTTGGGCTGTAGTTAAGGTGGGCTGTAGTTAAGGTGGACTGTAGTTAGGGTGTACTGTATTTAGGGTGTACTGTAGTTAGGGTGGGCTGTAGTTAAGGTGGGCTGTAGTTAGGGTGTACTGTATTTAGGGTGGACTGTAGTTAGGGTGGGCTGTAGTTAGGGTGGGCTGTAGTTAGGGAGGGCTGTAGTTATTTAAGGTGGACTGTATTTAAGGTGGACTGTATTTAAGGTGGGCTGTAGTTATTTAAGGTGGACTGTAGTTAAGGTGAACTGTATTTATTAAGGTGGGCTGTATTTAAGGTGGACTGTATTTAAGGTGGGCTGTAGTTAAGGTGGACTGTAGTTATTTAAGGTGGACTGTAGTTAAGGTGGACTGTATTTAAGGTGGGCTGTAGTTAAGGTGGACTGTATTTATTAAGGTGGGCTGTATTTAAGGTGGACTGTATTTAAGGTGGGCTGTAGTTAAGGTGGACTGTAGTTATTTAAGGTGGACTGTAGTTAAGGTGAACTGTATTTATTAAGGTGGGCTGTATTTAAGGTGGACTGTATTTATTAAGGTGGGCTGTATTTAAGGTGGACTGTATTTAAGGTGGGCTGTAGTTAAGGTGGACTGTAGTTATTTAAGGTGGACTGTAGTTAAGGTGAACTGTATTTATTAAGGTGGGCTGTATTTAAGGTGGGCTGTATTTAAGGTGGACTGTATTTATTAAGGTGGACTGTATGTAACACTATTTAAGGGTGGAGTGTATGAAACAATAGGTACCGCCCCCCCTGCGTGGTGCAGGTGATTGGTGCTAGACTGCCGGCTGCCCCCCTGGGTGGAGTAGGCCTTCAGGTAGGACGGAGTAAGTAGGTGGTGCTGGGCTCCAGCTGCTGGACGTCGTGGCTGAAGGTGTTTTTACTGACGGCCTCCTGCAGCTCAGCACTGTCGGGCTCTGAGGGGGAGACTCCAGTTAACAGTGTTTACATATCAATAATAAATCAAAGATAATAAATCATTAAAGCTGCGCGCAGCAATGAGCGGTCGTCCGCACGACGATGTCTGCCGAAAAAGTGTTTCGAGGTTTCTGTCCGATCAGACAATATCTAAAGGAGTTACAGCAACATCATGTTTGATGGCAAGTGATCTGTCGCCACGGCAACGGCAATATGAATGATACCCCCATAATAAGCTTCAGGGGCTGCATCATTATATAACATGTGTTCACTACAACTACGCCCACAGTCACTGCGCGGGCTGCCGGCCGTCAGGACTTGAACCTTTGTGTGGTGTGTGTGTGTGTGTGTGTGTGTGTGTGTGTGTGTGTGTGTGTGTGTGTGTGTGTGTGTGTGTGTGTGTGTGTGTGTGTGTGTGTGTGTGTGTGTGTGTGTGTGTGTGTGTGTGTGTGTGTGTGTGTGTGTGTGTGTGTGTGTGTGTGTGTGTGTGTGTGTGTGTGTGTGTGTGTGTGTGTGTGTGTGTGTGTGTGTGTGTGTGTGTGTGTGTGTTGTGTGGTGTGTTGTGGTCTTGTTGGTGTTGTCGTCAGGGTTGTCGGCTCAGGGTTCTTCCTCCCGGTCTCTGGTCTCTGTCTCTGGTCTCTGGTCTCTGGTCTCTGGTCCTCTAGTCTCTGGTCTCTAGGTCTCGGTCTCTGGTCTCTCTGGTCTCTGGTCTCTGGTCTCCTAGGTCCTGGGTCTCGGGTCATCTGGCTACGTCTCTGGTCTCTGGTCTCTGGTCTCTCAGGCTCTGGTCTCTAGTCCTCTGGTCTCTAGTCCTTCTGGTCTACTATAAATCCTGGACTCTCAACCCCATCTACCCCGCCGGGCGGACGTGCAGCACGTATCCTATATGATGTGCAGCTTCCTCTCTCTTCGGGGGGGGGGCGCTACCCAGCTTGAGCCGTCAGGGCTGCGGAGAGAGGGCCTCAGCCTGCAGACCTGAGGGGGGGGGGCGGGGGCTCCGGAGAGATCAGGATCCTGTAGTCCCTGTAGGGCTGGTGGAGAGGGGGGGGTCAGGGCCCTGTATGGCTGGTGGAGAGGGGGGGTCAGGCCCTGGTAGGCTGGTGGAGAGGGGGGGGGGGGTCAGGGCCCTGTAGGCTGGACAGGCTGATGGACAGGCGGGCGCTGGCCTGGTTGGAGCCCGCGCTGTTCTCCGCGATGCACTGATAGATGGCCTCGTCTTCAGGGGAGATCTGAGTGATGGACAGGGTCCTGGGGGAAAGAGGTTAGAGTATAACAACAACAATACTAACAATATTTGTTAGAGCCGCAATGAAGTCAACGTTATTATTTAGATTCATCATTTGATAAATGATGTGTGCCATGGTGAATATCTTTTGATGAAATGATTGTTTATTTCAAATCGTAAATATGATCTGTTCCTTGTCACCTTCCGGTGTTTATTTAAGTGAGGCCACATTGAGTGCACAGCTGAGGGTGCTCTGAGACCTGATGAGACCTGATGATGAGACATGATGAGGACCCTGATGAGACCTGATGATGAGACCTTTGAATTGCGACCGTGTAGTACCTCTGATGAGACCTGATGAGAACCTTGATGAGACATGATTGAGACCTGAGACCTGATGAGACCTGATGAGACCTGATGAGGACCTGCTGAGACCCCTGATGAGACCTGATGATGACCTGATGAGACCTGAGACCTGTGACCTGACCTGATGAGACCTGATGAGGACCTGAGACCTGATGAGACCTGAGACCTGATGAGACGCTGAGACCTGATGAGACCTGATGAGACCTGAATGAGGACCTGATGAGACCCTGATGAGACCTGATGAGACCTGAGAACCTGATTGGAGACCTGATGAGGCCTGGACCTTGATAGACCTGATGAGACCTGATGAGACCTGATGAGACCTGATGAGACCTGATGAGACCTGAGACCTGATGAGACCTGATGAGACCTGATGAGACCTGAGACCTGATGAGACCTGAGACCTGATGAGACCTGATAGACCTGATGAGACCTGATGAGACCTGATGAGACCTGAGACCTGATGAGACCTGAGACCTGATGAGACCTGATGAGACCTGAGACCTGATGAGACCTGATGAGACCTGATAGACCTGATGAGACCTGATGAGACCTGATGAGACCTGATGAGACCTGAGACCTGATGAGACCTGATGAGACCTGATGAGACCTGATGAGACCTGATGAGACCTGATGAGACCTGATGAGACCTGATGAGACCTGATGAGACCTGAGACCTGATGAGACCTGATGAGACCTGAGACCTGATGAGACCTGATGAGACCTGATGAGACCTGATGAGACCTGAGAACCTGATGAACCTGATGAGACCTGATGAGACCTGATGAGACCTGAGACCTGATGAACCTGATGAGACCTGATGAGACCTGAGACCTGATGAGACCTGATGAGACCTGATGAGACCTGATGAGACCTGATGACCGTGAGACCCTGATGAGACCTGATGAGACCTGAGACCTGATGAGACCTGAGACCTGATGAGACCTGATGAGACCTGATGAGACCCCGATGAGACCTGATAGACCTGATGAGACCTGAGACCTGAGACCTGATGAGACCTGATGAGACCTGATGAGACCCTGATGAGACCTGATAGACCTGATGAGACCTGATGAGGACCTGATTGAGACCTGAGACCTGATGAGGACCTGAGACCTGATGAGACCTGATGAGACCTGATGAGACCCGATGAGACCTGATAGACCTGATGAGACCTGAGACCTGAGACCTGATGAGACCTGATGAGACCTGATGAGACCTGATGAGACCTGATGAGACCCTGATGAGACCTGATGAGACCTGATGAGACCTGATGAGACCCGATGAGACGGGGAGCGGAACACTTTGTACACCGCAAATTGTAAACGAAATGAGTGTTGCAAATTGGACTGCAAAGTATAGTTTATATAGGAAAGTATATCGCCTAATTATTGATTTAGATTTGTTATTTTGAGACTATTTAAGTCAATACTTTTTTGTTAATAAATTACATTTTTTGACTGAAAACCTTCGGCTGCTTATTGCTCTGGATTGCGTGTCGTCAACCCGCTCTATAGAGAGGTGAAGTCCCTCCCCTTCCTGTGGACCCCCATGGGACCTTATTTCGGAAAAGTTATGCATTGAAGTCAATGGAGAGAGAAAGATTATCTTTGGATCCCGTTTGAATTGTGCCACGAATTACACATATGATGTTTGTCAATTTAAAAGATCATTTTGAAAGTAAAAAAAAAATAAAATGTGTGGTAAAACTGTGAAGTAACACATTTGTTTGTGTGAAACGCTCAATGAACTACATCTCTGGTCAACAACACACGTCACCAAGATGGCCGTCACTACTGTCTTGTCAACAAAACGATTGACTACCCTCACTATCACCCTCTCACCCTGACCCTCACCCTGACCCTCACCCTGACCCTCACCCTCACTATCACCACAATGAAACACGTCCTGAAGAATGTCATGCAAAGCTGCCTGCCTGCCTTCCTTTGATTCTCTCTGAACTGCCTGGTCGTTTTAATGTTTAATGTCAACCATTTGTGCAGATAGCATGAAGTAGAGAAGATCGTCGATGCTAGCGTTAGCGTTAGCATTTCTCCCCCGGGCTTAAATGGTGTATTATAGAATGATCACACCGGTGACAGTACTATTCAAAGGGTTCACGAAATATGACTACTACTCTTACTGTTTAACATTTTGGGTTACTTAATGTTACTTCATGTTAAGGCTAATAAGAATGACAAGGCTGTAATGCTAACTAACGTGCTAGCTACTAGCTAGGTAGCTAACTTGATCAAGCCACTCCTGAGGCCTGTACTACGAAGCTGGATGTTCTCTTAGCTAACTTCAGGGGAAACTCTGGGTTTCCGGTCCTACGACGCTGGTTCTCTTTTTAGCGGGCTAGATCTCCATGGTAACTTATGCTGAGCGGCTAACCTCCTCCGGAGCAGGTTAGGTTGCAGGCTAAGAGATCAACTCAGTGAAAGCACCGCCTGCTGACCAATCAGAGCTCCGTGTGCAGAGTTTAAAGATCAAGTCATATTACAGGATAGAGGAAATACAGAAAAACTGCCGTTGCAGGAAAGACGGCACAAATCACCTGACTGTGTGAACGTGAACATTAATAGAATATCCCCTCCTCCCATCTTCAGAGCAATCTGACTATTATAACATTAGCGTTAAGAAAGCTTACTTAAATATCTGCCACAACATAAGTAACCGGATCAGAGTAACATTACGTACAGTCCGCGGCACTGTGAGTGCAGACGTCGATGTGTCCCATTATCATTCATATCATATCACATCATAATGTATCATATATTTCCTTATCTGAGTCAGCTGAGCCGTATCTGGCCGTGCAACACTCACAGTGTCACATACTGTATGCAGAAGTATTATTTTAAGCAACACATTAAGTTGACGAAACACTCGAGTCAAATGTAATGAAAGTCAGATCGTGTCTTAGACGGGGCAGTGATATCATAAACCTGTTAATGTACGCATTCAAACACTTTCTCTGTTACCAGCTGTATTCACCTTGCAGGTGCAGCTATGTGGCTTTGATCCTGGATAAAGTGTTTAAGTCATGGATGTTTAAAGTTTAACTTCTTCATATTTGACTAATATTAAAGTTCACTTTTCATTCAGGAAGTATGACGCTGCGCTGTCAGTACGCTTGTCCATGTTTGTGATTGGTCGAATGCTCCAGATACCACCCCTTTCATGTGAACGCACACCTAACTAGATAGGACACGGCTGGCTTGAGCGATCCACTTGATAACCAGCGTCGTAGGACCGTTTAGCGAGAGCGCGTATGTTTTGGATTGGGCCAACCGGCTAACTCAAACATATCCAGGTTAGGTTGAACCGGCTTCGTAGTACAGGCCTCTGGCTTCGTAGTACAGGCCTCTGGCTTCGTAGTACAGGCCTCTGGCTTCGTAGTACAGGCCTCTGCAAGCTAGCTACTAGCTACTAGCTAGCTTGATCCAGAGTACTCCTGGTCCTTTGATCAGACGGGAAGCGAAAGAACGAGCAAGACCCATTGCTGGTATGATACCAACCTGGTACTAAGCACACAGGCATCTTGTTAAAGTTATCTTATCTTAGCCAGCGCCATATAGATAGATTATATCTATATTGCGCTGATCTTAGGTATCTCTTAGTGGAGGAAAACAATTGTGACATCACTTACGCAACTCTGGGATTTGTAGTCTTTCTAGTTACGTATTTTTCATAGTCTTATATTTCAACAGTTTTACGACAAACTGTGACTTTTTTGACATGGAAATTATTTTTTAAGATTGACAAACATCATATGTGTAATTCATGGCACAATTCAAACGGGATAGAAAGATAAGTTTTCTCTCTCCATTGACTTCAATGCATAATTTTTCCGAAATAAGGTCCCATGGACAGGAAGTAGATGGGCGTGACTTCGCCTCTCTATAGAGGCAAAAGGAAACCTTGGATGCCACTACAATAATACATTGGATGTTTATAGCGCTTGTGTGTGTGCTGTGTGTGTGTGTGTGTGTGTGTGTGTGTGTGTGTGTGTGTATGTGTGTGTGTGTGTGTGTGTGTGTGTGTGTGTGTGTGTGTGTGTGTGTGTGTGTGTGTGTGTGTGTGTGTGTGTGTGTCTCACGTGTTCACGTTGCTCAGCCTCACGGTCCCGCTCACACTCAGCAGCTTCCCGTTCTTCAGCCAGATGATGTGAGGCTGAGGTTCTCCAGAGGCGGAGCAGCTGAACTCAGCGCTGCCCCCCCCAGGCCTGGAGAGGGACTGCGGCCACTGGGAGAACTCTGGGGGGGCTGGGGGGGACCAGCAGAAAACAGAACATAATGAGAGAGAGTAGCAGATCCAGCCCAGCAGGGGGCAGCACCTGTCTGAGTTCATATCACATACAATATCATTACAATAAAGTAAATAAAGAAATAAAAAAAAAAACTGATAAAATAAAGATAAAGAAATAATAAAATGAAATAAAAGTAAAACAAATCGAAATAAAATACTTAATTCATTTTATGAATGTCCCTCACCTCTTATTCATTTCTAATTTCCCTTTATTATATTGTTGGTAACTTAGTAGTTAAATGTTGTCCCTTCACAATAAAAGCCCTGATGATGACACCCCCCCCCCTGCAGACAGACAGGTGCTGTCTCGCCTCGTCTCCACGGTAACAGGAGGACACACACACACACACACACACACACACACACACACACACATGTGAGACGGGGGTCAGAGGTCAGGAGGGGGGGGGCCATAATGAAGTTTAATGTGGAGAACACACTCAAGTTCAAGAACAAAACACAACTACCACACACCACACACTCACA